CCTGCTGCTCTGCATTTAATCGTCTTATCTCATTTCCATGTTACTTTTGCAAACAGCAGGGAAGGTGTTTATGGACCAAATGATAAAATAGCCACTGGCATGCAAAGTTCTACAGTAACAGAGATAGGGAAATGGTGTGATGCTTGTTCTGTTGCTGAGCCTTTCCTAAGCCTCTGCTGCCCATTGCAGGCAAAGACCGTGACACTGTGCTTTGGGCCTGGCCCTATGGAGCTGGGTGACCTACCAGGCCAGTCCTGGCAGTGGGAAGATGGCCACACTGCACTGGGGGAGTGAGCACGAGTGTGTGAGGTGCTGTGCCCAAGGCAGAGGGGAGATCAGGGGAGTGGGAAGGTCCAGCCTCCCCAGACCAGGACATCTGCAGCCATAGGGCCCTTCCCCTCCACCCCAGTGTGAGCTGCTGCCTTGTGGGTCCTCAGTGTTCCTATGCTTTCCCATAAAGGCTTCTCCCTCGCCTGTGTGCTGTCTGCATCAATTTAATTTTAATTAGTTCAGATGCTGACGTGAAAGATGTGAGAGAAATATCCGTAATGGGGGACTGTTTGAAAAATTGCTTCTCTTATCAATCATGCAAAGGGCTATTGGATGCATTTTCCCATGGTGCATTCTGGTTGGCTTTGAAAAATGGTTGAATAATTTTTTTATTTTAATTTTTTTCCCCTGGCACTTTTTTGTGGGGGATTTTATTTCATGTGGATTGCTCAGTCAATAGGAGAAGAAGACACTGGTGTGTTCTGGGAGGCTCTGCTGCTAACTAGTTATCATGCTGAGAGGCTGCTGAAAGCATTTACCTATCATAACAAAAGATCTTCTGATGGCATTTTATTACTAAAGAACCTGTATTCCTGACTTGGGCTTTCAGAGGCTCCCAGCAGTTCTGTCAGGCTAACTGTGCTTCCAGAGATGATTGTGCGCTCTTATTTTGGTGAGTCAGTCAGGCAGCGCGGCACTCTGCCATTTTATGACAAAGCCTTTCTGCCATGACAAGAGCTGGGAATTGTGCTTCAGGAGCTGCCTGCATGCCTTCAGGTGACTCCCTTTTCTTGCTGGGGTATGGCATTGTCCTGTGCTGGCACGGGGCTGTCAGTGTGGATGCAGTGGAGCTGCCCCAAGCTCAAAGATGAGACTTTTCTGCTGCTGCTCAGCCATACTCACTGTGCTCAAGTTGTATCTCATCTGGTTTTGGGTGAAATGTGGTTTTGTGTGTGTGCTGACAATGTACTTCCAGTTCCCACTGCAAAAATTGCTGTTGATTGTCACTGTTGGTTCTGTTAAGGAAATAGGGATACAGATTTCCTTTACATGAGTATAAGAATTAGTGGATTTGGACCGCCAAAGTATGTACTGCACCTGGCTCTGCTCTTTGTACACCCTTGAGGTGCTTTTAGGGTCTGTGTGCATGTGTGCTCCTGTGTGTGTTCCACATGGGCATTAATGGCTTGTTAGAGCCATTGTATAATTTATAGGAAATAGTACCAGAGTTAAGACAGGATGAAAGGCACCTGTTCTTTAGCTTAACTCCTTCCTTTCTTCTGGCGGTAGAGTTTTTAGCACTGCATATGAAATACTTTTTAACCAAGTCAAGAAACAATCTATTCTGTATAATTATATTAATATTATTAATAATACAATGCTTTGCCTTGGTTTTTCTTGGAGGTGGAAACTACACTAAAGTTCTGTTTCAACTCCAGGCTGGAAGCACTTAGCATCTCCAGATAGTCATGTTGACTCTCATATGCTTGCTCAGATTGTAGCATCTCTTTTTTTTCAGAACTATAAAGGTATTAGGCTTTTAATTTAATCTTAGCATGCATGCAGTTTGAATTGAAGTGAGTTCTTCCTAGTTTCATTCCATCAAACCTTGAACTTGCAATGCAGCTGCTAGCAACCAGTGTGTGTGCCCATTCGCTC